GCGTCTGCGCAGGAGATGCCCGGGCTCCGACCCCGACAGCGACTGCGGGGCGAGGGAACGACGTCGCGTCAGTGTCACCCTGCCAGGGCGGCCAGGCACACCAGTCGCCAATGCCGGCACACATGGGTGCAGTCGGGGGCGCTGGGGCAAACAACTCTGTCGTGAGACCCACGAGACGCGAGGGGGCGCGGGCGGGGGCAGCTCTATCACCGTCGCAGTCGCGCGCGGGTCGGGCTAGGGCTGCCGCTCTGTCTGCGCGGGTGCGTCTAACCCCATTGCGAATTTCCTGACGTTGAGCAATGACATGAACATCTTGTCTTGACAGGCACCGACACCGCTGATCTGTGCCGGAGACGGTCTAGTGGTCTATCCTGAGCCGCTTTCGGGCATCGTCCCGCGGGCCATGGGCACTGGGCAGCTACGCCCGATGTGAGTCAATGCTGGGCCGCCTCGACAAGCCGAGACATTCGAAGAGGACTGCGCGGTGCGCCGAGCTGGATACAGGACGACGTGCAAGCGCCACGCAACTGTATGCACTTCGGTACGCTGGAGGCTATATCTATGGCGATGTCCCAGTCGACGCCAAGAAGCCGCTCTATTCAAGGCGATCGACGGGTGGTCTTGTCCGCGGTCGGTGCAGCACGGGAGACCTGTCATCTGTCTGCCGACAGAGTGCACGCCGTTCAAGGGACAAGGTGTTCCGGGTCGACTTGGACTTGCGCAGTATGATACCAATGATACGTCTCCGCGTTTCAGCAGCGACGTCTCATGCCTGTTCCGCACGCAACCCGCTCATATGCCTCTATGCGGTCCGGACAATACCTGGGCCTCCGCTCGATCCTCCCAAATCCCTGGTACCACGCCGGGCGCTGCACCAGTCCAGTGATTGTGTTCGTCTGGGTGCTCTGATGACTGATGAACGAGATGTAATGTACGTGAGCAATGAGTAGAGTACACGGTATGCCGTACCAATACATGATGTTTGTATGCTGCGATGACTAGGACGCACGCCGGCATGTAATGCTGGGCGGGAGAAACGGGTAATAGCAAGCATCTCCGGGGTATCGTGAGTGCCACTCCCTGCGATGTCTGGGGGTGCAATTGCGCCGGAAGCATGGACAGTGCCAATGCTGGGAAGGGAGTGCGCTGAGCAGACGGCTGCGGCACATGATCGGCCGGCAACCTAGCCCGGGTCTTCGAGCGAAGATCCATCAGGCTGCAGCCTGTATCAAGCCGATGGAGGCTTCGGACACAACGTCACCGAGTATGACGGCATGGTGGGGGCGCTAAAAGGCCAAGGATGCAGTAGTGTGCGCTGGAAGACGGATTGAGCCACACTGGGGGATAAGGCCGAGGAAGAAGAAGAGGTGAACGCACCCTGCGAGCGGCGGATGCTGCTATCGAATGCCGGCGGCAGCTTCGAGCCTGGTCACCTCGTCGAGAAGCGCATCTCTGCCCTCCTCGAGCCAGTGTATGTATTCCCTGGCACGAAAGAGGATACCGCTTTTGCCCTTTGTGCCGCGGCCGCGGCTGCCACTGCCCTTGGGGCGGCCCCTGGTGGGCATGCCTGAGCCTGGGGGCGCGCCGGCGGGAGCGAGGAGGGTGGTGAGCTGCATGTAGCCGTCGCGGATGGCGTTTCGGCGTTTCTGCTCGGACATGATGTGGTTAAGCCTCTTCTGTGGGGTGGAGAGGAGGGGCTTGACGCGAGAAGAAGCCGAGGGGTCGCGGGATGCGGGGGACGCGGATGAGGACGGAGAGCGACTTCGGGAACGTACTCGTGGCTTGGTATCAGGTACGTGGGTATACAGAGAAGCTTGCGGGGGTTGTGAGATTGGGTGTGGCTGCGGAGGTGCTGGTAGTCGCTGCTGCTGCTGCTCTGACTGGGCATTGAAGAGCGAGGAAGAAGGGGGCAGCTGCTCGAGGCCGGGCGGGGCAGTCTCCTGGAGCGGGCTGTGGTAGAGAGGATCTGGGACGTCCGGGAGCTGTGGAAGGCCGTCTAGGTTGAAGTCCCACTCGAAGTTGTCAAGGAAGCCGAAGAAGTCGGTGGTCTCTGACTGGGAGAAGAGCTCGTTGGAGGGGGGAAGCGGGGGCGGCGGGGGCACAGCGACGTTGAAGAACTGAAAGTCGTCGAAGCCGACGGGTGCGTCGTGCGGGGGCGAGTGGGGATGCGGGGCAGACATGATGATGATGGTCCGAAACCAAGGCCGGAGATGCCGGTGCGCGTCTAGACAGCGACGGAGCCGGGACGCCGGAGGCGGCTGTGGCCGGAGGGGACGGGGGGCACGTGCGGGGGATATAGACGGAGGCTGACCGTACGCTCCGAAGCCCCGCCCATCACCTCCATGTCGGCCCTCTCTGAGGCGTCCACGCCGGCCCAGGACGCGGCCGCTCCGTCGATCGACACACAGCAGCTCCAGCAACACAACCACCAGCTCCCCGACCTCGCCCACCAGCCCGGCCACTCCCTCTCCGGCACCTCCTCCGCGTCCCCCGCCGACTCCAGCCGCAAGCGTCCGTCTCCTCTCCCTCTCCTCTCCCCGTCCTCCTCCTCCTGACCGCCTCCGTACAGCCAAGGCGCCCTCCGTGCGCAGGGCTTGCACCGCCTGCCATGCCGGGAAAACAAGATGCAGCGAACAGCTCCCCTGCCAGGTATCTCCCCCCTGTGCCCCCTCCCCCCTCCCCCTCCTCACCGCCTCTCCAGAGCTGTCTGAAGCGCGGCCTCGGGGCCTCCTGCGCCTACCCCGACCCAGACGCCGATAACCACCAGAACCAGGCCCAGCCACGTATGTTCCTCCCAGCTCCCACACTCATCCTCCTCTTCTCACAGCCTCTCATCAGCCCAAGTGCCCCCCTTCGCCGCCATGGCATACCCCCCGCCAATGCAGGGCCTCGCACACCCCCCCTACTACGACTACAGCAACAGCTTCACGTCAAACGCAGCAAACCCCACCGGCGCCTCCACCTCCACCTTCCGCCCAAACAAGCGGCCGCGCCCGCTCACCGAAGAAGAGACCGCCGCCATTACCCGCAACTTCACCCGTGGCGACTTCTTTGTCGGCTCCAGCGCCCCCGTCCGCATTGATCCCCGCCTGCCCGTCCGCCTCACTCTCGCAGAGGGCGACCAGGTCCACTTCTCCATCGGGGAAGCCATCGTCTGATTCTTGCTTCTCGCTCTCTTGTTGTGCTTGTACTTATGGTGGTTACGAGAGTTGGACTTGCAGTCTGTATTGTTGTCCCTTCGCTTTCTTGGTATGCATGGCTCCCCTGTATGTATAGTACCGTCATGATTGCCCGTGTTTGCTCATCCATTGCATGATCTCCAGATGATGCTGTGTGCCCCTATGAGTTCCATATCTATTCCACTTGATCATTCGATGTGTGCTGAACCGGCCAGGATGGCAACCTAGCAGGTGAGATCGTTGATAGCGGTCCGAGTAGTGTCGTTGATACGAGCTTTTCCCTCGAGTCTCAATATTCGATACACGCATCGTGGGAAACACGGCGGAGAGACCGATGATTTCCATAGCAAGCTGCACCGTCGCGGGCAAGGTCCGTACGCCGATCCTCTGGTCCTCTGCAGCGCTTCTTGAGTTATCAAGCCTACCTCGAAGGTATTCACCCAGTTTAGGATGCGAGGCCGTTTGCACGTCCTCGTGGGTGAAAGACAAACTCTGAACCCACGATGTGGCTCGGGCGCAAATGCGAGCGCGTCGAGAAGGTACGACCCTTCTGAATGCCTTCAGCACAGGCATGAGAATACACGTCGCTGAATCAACGTGTCCAGAAGTTGTCCTCGGGGAGGACTTCGCTCAGATTGCGCATCTGCTCCCGCTCGACATAACAGCCTCTGCCGCTCGTCATATCAAGACCAGATTTCAAGGCAAAATCAACCACCGCTTGTGGTTTGACGGTACGCTACTTCTACTATCTGCACCGCCTTATACTACGTCTCACCGCAGTTCAGACTCCTTAGGAGCTGCATGTGCGTGGCCATGCTCGGTTCTCATGCGTCCGCACATGTCTGTGACGAGCGATGTCGCCGCTCACCACAGCAACCCCTGCTGGCGGTGGTATCCATCTGCATGATGCCGCCAAGGCGCAACCGTCATGCTCTGCGCAACTCCTGGTACATAGAAGAGGGCTTTCGTCTCTCATGAGACCAACGGACCCCAGCTTCCTTCACTTCTTCGCCTCTTTGCCTCTTATTCGTTCTCTCGACCTCTTTTTTCCCTCCACGACACCCCGCTCAGTCACCAGCCTCAAGCCATGTTCCGCGCTGCCCTTGTCGCTGCCTTCTTCTACACTTTGTCCGTCGTTGCGTTTCTGGCCCACGGCGCGGCCGTCAGCGCGGCCAAGCGAGGTCAGTCGCCAATACCTTCTTCATACGCATGAGGCGAAGAGACTCACAGCATCCTGTAGACATCACGGATCCGTGTACGCTCATGCACGCTATCCATCAATGACAGCAGCCGCGACTCACTTACTACGCTCTACCCACAGTCAAATCGATCGCCAGCGACGTCAAGTCAGCCGTCGACGGTATAGAAACCGCGGTCGAAAGTCAGTATAACCACAACATCGTGCATCCCACACTATGGCTATATTGCTCATGAACGCATGCTCCAGCTATCGGCAAAGATGTCGTGACCGTCGTCAAGGACGCCAGCGGCGAGGCCTTCACTCTTGCGACCGACGGGGTGGGTCTTGCCACCACCATCGCTGGCCAAGCTTATACCATCATCACTACATGCGTACGCACCAGTCATCTCAGTAACTTTTGCCGCTGAGAACGAAGCTGACTCTCCTCGGGATTTGTACAGGGCCACAGCCACCAACACTGGAAACTCTGCACTCGGGGTGCACGCGGGCGTCATATCGTCCCCGTTGCTCTGCGGTGTCTTGACCTTCCTCGCTAGCACTCTGCTTGGGGTGTGGGTTGCCCTGTGATGGCAGCCGTGTCCCAGCATAAGCATGATATTCCATGCACAAACTGTTGACATGGTGAGATGGCCGAGCGGTCTAAGGCGCCAGACTAAGGTTAGGTGTTTGAGATTCAAACCCACCGCACATATCTGGTCCGAAAGGGCGTGGGTTCGAATCCCACTCTCATCAGGTTTTATCTTTTCTTTCTGCATTCTAGACACCGTTGTCATCACGCAGTTACGATTATATTGCAAAAGTTGAGGTGAATGTATCATATGCAAGTTCCAGATGAAGCATACAAGGCAGGTATCTATCTAGTCGTCACCAAACATGATCTTCAAGTTCTCGATACTTTCCGGATCGGTATCCCGTTTGCCCTTGAATGCTTCTTTCACAATGGCCGTCTTTCTCTTCTGGATCTGTAGAATACGTCCTTCGATGGTCCCGGATACCTGAGACATAATAGATCAGACACATGACACGGGCGAAGACAAGGCCACCCACGATGAAATGCGTAACGTAGACCGTCTTCTCTTGTCCTATTCTATGGACTCGGTCGATAGCTGCCGGACGTTTTAGAAGAAGCGCGGAGAGCAGCAGCACATAGACCACATACCCTGGTTCTCAGTAGCGGCGTTCCACCAGCAGTCCATCTGCAGGAATCCCACAACATTAATCCTAGGGCGCCCGGCGGTCGAAGGGGAGATGGGCGACTTACCATGAAGACGTGGTTCGCATTCGTCAACTGAAGAGATGTCTGTCAGGCGGATACTGAACATAGATGTAGAGGAACAGGAGACGTACGTTCAACCCCACGCCGCCGGCCTTGAGACTGATGATGAGAACCTTCGCGTCGCGCGAAGACGCCTTGAACCCGGCGACGGCTTCGTTGCGCTTCTTGATGTCCATCGAGCCGTCGAACCGATACCACGGTAGGTTTTCGCGCTCGAGAACCGCCTGGATGAGATCGAGGAAGGACGTGAATTGCGAGAACACGACCGCTCGGAAACAGGGGTCCTGGTCCCTGAGGCGCCCTGGACGAGCAGACGCGACTTGAGTGGGAAACGGAAGATGATATCAGAAGAGCACGCACGGAGATGCTGGACGAGTGCTTCGAGCTTTGTTGATGACCGGAAGTCGTTTCGTCGCAACATGACGGTGGACGTCGGAGGCTGACCGTCGTCGCTGGCTTTGTCCCCGCTGTTCTGCCTGGAGCGAACGATCTCTAGCAGGTCGCTCTCCTGAGCGACACGTCAGCAAGACGGGCAGGAAGACGGCGGGAGATGTGTCTCACCTTGACAGGACCTCGGGAGCACGTCGGGCACTTCCCATCCTCGCCCCTCTCTCGGCACTTCTCGATGAAGGCGATGATGCAGTCCTTGCAGCTATACAGGCACTCGGTAAGGGTGTAAATCGCATATGCATACGCAACAACGTACCATTGATGCATGCACTCGGGCAGGATGGCTGGTGTCTCCATTACGTCGAAACAGATAGGACACTCCACATCTTCCTCTTGCGCGAGGTTCGCGAGGACGCCCTCGGCGTACACCTTGTTGTCCCCGACCGTGTTCTCTCCTTCGCCGAACTTCTGGATGAGGTCCTTAACGTCAACTGCGCCGTTGCCACTAGGTGCCTTCGGTGCCACCCCTTCGTTCGATGAGAGGACGAGGTTGGGATGCAAGACCGCTCGACGGAGCCTATGAAAGTTCGTTTGAGCATCGTGGTCATCATCAGCATAGAAACATACCGCATGAGCATGGCGAGTATGTGCGTGTAGTTGCGGCTGACAAGACCCTTCTCTGTAAGATGCTCGAAGTCCTTCTTAGCATCCGAGTACAGCAAGTCGTATATCTTGCGCTCTAGTGGCGAGAACTCTAGATTTTCGAACTTGATCTACGAACGATATGTTAACTCAAAATGGGCTAGATGGAAACATGACGCCCGCCGACTTGCCTCCTTGGGTGGCAGTTGGACAATCCGTTTGCCGTCGGTGTCCAACATGTCCTTCTCCCGACGCAACAGGACACTCTCGAGGATGATTTGGACAACCTCGACTGCCTTGCGATCACGTGCGAGGAACGGGAGGGTAATGAATCTGGTCCCGGTGTCAGTATTTTCAGTGAGCCGCGAAGTGCTAGGGTCCTTACGAGCGGAAGAAGGTATAATTCGACCACGGCGCGAAATCGAGGAATTTACTAGGATCAACTAGGTCAATCGGGTGAGCTTAAGAATCGCGCATCGACGTACAGTAGCGAGTACAGATCTTCCAGACGGTTGACGATAGGAGTACCCGTGACGGCCCATCGTCTTCGCGCACGGAGTGCGTAAACAGCCTTCGCAGTCTTGCTAGTCCTAGACTTGCAATGGTGTGCTTCGTCAAGCACGACGCCTGCTACGTCGTGAGCACACGGCATGATAAATACATGTGTGTACTACTCACGAAGCCATTCAACTGTCGCACGGCAATGTCAGCGGATAGGGCCTGTCTCGAGCGCACACTGACGCACCTTCAAAGACACTGGACGGCTGCTTCTCGTGCTTGGCATGCTCCGAAACCAACGTCCCATACGAAGTGATGACCACTGTAATGGCGGCCTCGTTATCGACGGCAGCATCGAGATCCAGTCGATTCTGTCCGTGCCATACCAACACCTTGAGCGTGTCGGGCTTACTCGACCGCTGCAACTCCTCTGCCCATTGAGCTAGGAGCGACGTCGGCGCTACGATAAGAGTTGCAGAGGGACCCTTGCGTTGCGCTGGTGAAGGATTCTGGACCACGCGGAAAGCGCTATTGAGCCTGAGTTGTTTAGCGCGCGAAGAGCCGTTCGCGTCAACCTCTGCAGCAGGCTCCGGCTCGCGCGCTGTCTGGATGAGTGCAGAAAGCATGATCGTTTTCCCCATACCCACTGGCATGATAGGTGAGACACGGTTATGAGTGAATGTTCGACGCCGCACTCACTTTCTGCAGGCACGGAGACCGAATGACGGAAACATACACATTGTCAGTGACCGAATGGCGCATGCTACAACTCCACGAATCTCACCGTCGCTGTATGACGACATATCAGCAGCAATTTTGGGTATGCAAACATCATGGACTTACGCAAGGATACCACCTTTGCATTTCCGTTCTGCCTTCGGGAATTTGAGGCTGAGTTCCCCGGAGTATTCGTTGAAGTAGAATGACCGTTCGTCTGCGGTCAAATCTATCATCTCCTCGTTTGGATCAAAGGGAAAGACGTATCTATCACATCATTAGACACAACATGCAATTATAGTTCACAGAACACGTACTCCTTCCACAGAGGATGCATCGACTGCGCCTCACGAGCGGAAACCGCTCCTGTCTCAATTGAGTGCATCCACCTGACAGACATTAATACAACGCAAGGGTGATCAAGGGAATTATGACCTACAAGAGAGCTTGCTTCTGATAACCCCGTAGCGTTAGCGTGAACGTATCTGCGGGCTCCATTTCTCCCAGCCTGCTGTCGTTCTGCTGCGCTCTATGACGCCCTAAGTATGTCGTCAAGATCATATGATGTGGCCGGACGTACTTCTTATATATCAGATTGATCTGCTCTTCCGTGATGTCGCCTTCGTCGTCCTCGTCTCCATTACCAGCTGTACCACCTTGCGTTGGCTTCATGACGGCAGGACGTTGAGTTAATAACTCCAGGTCTTGCTGATCCAATTTGCCGCTGTGTCTCAAGTCGTTGCTCTTCCGTGGCTTCAGGTGGATTTTCTTGAACAAGTTCACGAGGGCGCGCTTTCGCTCTCGCAGGATCTGCTCTGCTTCTGTCTCGTAGCCTTCGTTGAACATGACTTTCGCCTTATCGTCCGAAGAGAGCTCGGGTGGTTTGAACGCAGAAGGTTTCATATACACAGACAAGGACACGATCATGTCGGCACCGGTCGAGAGCTTCTGCGGACAGTCAACCACGGTGCATCTCTTGAACTCGACGATGTCTGCACCGGATATCAGTACCAAAAAGTGCCAGAAGATGGAACCGCACACACCCAAGTCCAAGAGACGCGAGATCCAAGACGCAACGTCTTGTGGTAATCGACCGAATTCTGCGTAGGTTCAAGTTATTCGAAGTTCTTAGAGACCGGAGTACATAGCTCACCAAACCCTCGTGTGTTGGTGACTCGGACGACCGTATCCTGCTTCTTCCTGGTAGGCTTCGCTGGTGCGGGCTTGAACATGTTCGCGATGGTGAGCTGCTTCTTTCCGTCCTTGCCTTTGTCCTTCTTCGCAAGTTTCTTCGAAGGCGGCGGAGGCTTGTCTTCCTGTTCGCGTTCGATACGAATCTCTTCGCCAGGTTTGATGTAACCTGATCCTTTGACAGTACTCCATGCCTTGTCGACGATGAAGGAACCAAGGTACATGGTGTTGGATTCCGTGCATAGAGCTTCCGGCGGCGGAGACAGTCTTCGTCGTTTGGGCGGAGGACCATCGGTACTTGATATCTCGGAAGGCCCGATGACGGAAGGAGGAGACGAATGACGAGAGCCCAGCAGACCAGAAGACGTACTAGACACACTCGAAGCTCTGGGCACTTCGACATTGAATTCCGGCATCTCGACGTCCAACTCTACTTCAATATCGTCCTCCTCATTTGGTATAGGGGTCATGATCCGCGGTTTGTAATGCATCGGTTCTTCTTCGTCACTGTCAGTGAAGAAAAGTGGTTGGCGAGTCTGAGTTGGAGGCCTCGGCTTGTGCGACGCGTCGACCTCCGAGTCCTCGACAGTACTGTCGTTCACGATCGAGCCGGGTTGTTCTTCGGGGCTCTGCGCCTCCATGTCTTCATCGTCAGAGTTGGCAAAGAAAGCAGATCTGTCGTCTTCGGCTGGCATGGTGGGGTGACAGGAGAACAGTGAACGACGTACGCGACTCGACGCGTCCGTGGTCACTAACATTCGCAGCCACCGACGCGGACCCGACGCGTCGAGGGCATGCGGCAATCACCGAGTAGCTTGGATAAGTAAGAGGCTCCCACGCGCTACTTACGCGTTTCTGGAGAATTAGATCGAGGCTCCAGCTTCGTCTTTCCCCATTCCTCCAGCCACTCACTACAAAATGCAGCGGGGACTGCCCATGGTATGTTGCATACGGACACAGCAGATAGACTGGTACTTATGATCTACAGCAACCTACCGTAGTGCTCCTCAAGGAGGGC